GGGAAAGAGGAGGGAAAAAAAAAAAAAGTTCTAGAATTGCTCCATGCCAGAGGCCCCACTGTTGGGCCACAGCCCGGGCCACAGCCCTCAGCAAGGTGGACACTTGCTTTGGTCCATCAGCATCCCCCCACCACTGCTGAAATCAGGCTCCCAGTAAGTCATACGTTTGCTCTGTGTTTTAATCCCCAGCTCTCCCGACTCTTCCAATAAATGCTCTCAGTATGAAATTAAAGCATGTTACTTAACTTACTGTACCATCCAGCTATTGTAGTATTTTTAGAAGCTAGCTGAGCATTAGCCCTCGCTGACTTGTTTGCATGTACTATTTTCTCTGTCAGTCAGCATCTGCGACCAAGGATGATTTGAGTGACTAGCCAGACTGTTAGAAGGATCTGAAGCAGGATATATATATATATACTTTTTTTTTTTTTTTTTAAAAGAGTCCTTTAAGGCGTTAGCATTTCATATAGCCAAACACACCGTCATTACAGGTTAGATTTCAGTGTCCTTTTGCAAACCCACCTTGCACGATACACAATGCAACATGACTGCACCGCATTAAGAGCCAAAGTCCACTCATAGGCAGTGTTATCTCTACATATCAGTAACCAGGACAATCTGGATTTATTTTTTCAATCTATAACCAGGCCTTTCAAGTTGCACTCCCTCAACTATGACATACAATGTTTGCTGCTGCTTGTGCGAGCATGATAAGCATTTCAGTTATCAAAGAAAACATTAAATCTGGTGTTTTAATCAGAGAATCAGACAGCCATATACTATAGCGGCTCTACTGTCTGCACACGTGGTCTTTAATCACTTCTTCGGCTCCAAGTGCTACTGTTCCCACCTGCAGTTTAGCTCAGAGGAGTATTTATCAGTACAAGGCAGCATTATTAGGCTGACCAGCATGTTGTTACTCGTCTGTTGCTGCTTCTCTCATCCTGGTTCCTCCAGCAAAGGTTATCCATTCAGCCATTTAGGATAATCTTACAGGTAAACAGGGCTTAGAAAAGGCTGGAAGCAGATCCGCAAGTACAAATAATAAACTATCATCTGCACTTCCCTTCTCCCTCTTTCTTTGCAAAGAAAGGGACCTGACGCTAGCAGAGACAGGGTAGCTTTCTCTAGAGGTCTGGAAATCCCCTTTTACTGAAGACTTCAACTTTTCCTAACTTCAGCAGTCACCGGACGGTTACAAGATGAAGGAAGGCTACAAGTGGCAGCACAGCTTCTCGGAAGCTCCTGGGAACATGGCCAGACCGAGGATGTCCAGACCACCAAGACGACAGTCCCTGGTTTTGGATTTACTGTAGCTGTCTGCAAACCCACACAGCCATGCCCCTGAACAAAAGGTTCAATTGAGCAAGAGTCACGCGTACTCATGCCAGCAGTCCCACAGCGACAAATTAAGATCATGACACACTTCTCATGTTTGTACACCGTCCAGCACAACAGAACGTCAAGTCAGACGTGCCGACGGGTGCCGCTGCGGTTTAGGAGGCTATGAAGGCAGATACGGCTCGGTTTGCACAGAGGCGCTCCTGCCGCACCAGGAGCTCGCTGCCTACCTGGCGGAGCTACTTTATCACGCCGAGGTAGATGTCTTAAAACTAGTCGAGCGTAAAGACAAAATTAGCCAGTTCATTACTTGAGCCACCTTAGCTTTACTCTGCTGCGGCAACTTGGGTAAAGCAAAATGTAGTACCTTCTGCTAGCACAGACTGAGGGAACTACTGTAAAGTGTTCACGTGTAAGAGGTTTGCAAAAAAACCAACTATTAAAATCCACTGAATATGGGCCCATTAAGGGCTGTGACAGAATGGACTCCAGAAACAGGAAAGGGATACTTTGAGAAATTATACTCTCTATTTGTACCTGCAACTTGTTATTCTCAGAGAAAGGATGCAGAGGTAGATGAGCATTTCCTTATCTGACCCAATACTGCCATTCTTAACAGGCTTCTAGAGTTT